GACATTTTATTTTGTGAAAAGGGAAGTTTGGGACACGACGCCGAAGGCGGAGTGTTCCATCCCTTTGAACAAAATAAAATCACTTTTAGCACGAATGTAAGTAAAACGGGGCTACTTGATAAAACTTTTTGGAAACTTTCATCGGTCAGCATCAAAACACGCAATTTTCTCAAAAACAAAAATTATCCTGTTAAACTTTCACGCCTAAAGAAGCTGTAACTGTATTAGAAAAAATTTTAGGCCTCACATTTTTTCCAAAAAAAAATATTTTAGTGTCATTTTCAAGTAGCCCCGCGATGGGGCTACTTGAAAACTTGCTTTTAAACGCCGCAATTTGCAAGTTAGACCGCTTCAGGGGTTAGATGAAAACGAGAAAAAAAAAAAATAGCACTGGGTTTCATGAAAATCCAATAAAATACAATAAAAATACATTTTTTTAACTATTTTATTGTCAATTAAACCTAAAAACTAACAGAGCATATCATAAACTAGGTACAAAACATTTATTTAAATCAAAATACATTCTACAAACTTAAAATTAGAGCAAATAAACAGTAGCAGCAAAAAAAGGTAAACATTTAATCCAAAAATTCGTTGAATTTTACTTGACCTCTTCTAAGAATTTCCTTGACGGTCAGCTTCTGTATAATTTCACCTCTTTCAACAAGCCCAATATCATCGATATCTGGATATACATAGCTGTTTTTTATTTTAATACTCGGCCTTAAAAATTTGCACGTGTAGTCGGTTTCTTGAAGGGAAATTATTCTACTTACAAACTTCTTGGAGATTCCAGTCTCTGTTTTCAAGTCCACAAATACATAATCACCGCAATTAATTTCTGCGACGACACCGGTACTGTTTGTCACGTCTTCTGCTTCACAGACATTGTTGTTCTCTGAGTCATCATCAACGACTTCATCTTGAGATGGCTCGTCCTCTAGGGCTTGATTTTCTAGGTCAGAAAATGTTTCGGAGTCAGAATCAGAATCATCATTTGAGGTCCATACATTCTTGGATTTTCGCAGATTGGGTGGTAATATGTCTTCATCGCTCTCAGAACTAGATAGTGCTGACTTTCTCTTTGATTTCAGTCTTAATTTTTCCTTTGGTTTATTTTTTGAGATTTGTGTGGACGATACATTTTCAATATCCTCTTGACGGATACTTTTGCCAGGCTCTACTGACAATTTCTTTTTTCGCCCACTAGACGCCCCTGCCTTTCCAAATCTCGCCTCTTGGAACAGTTCTTTTATAGTCTCTCCTAACATATTTTCTGCTTGTGCTGCCCCTTCAATATCTTCTACTTTGGGAAGTTTACAGAGGATTTTTTGGCGATTAATGGGCACTATGCCAGTTGCTTCGAATCCGGATTTAATACTGTTCTCACTATTAACACTCTCTAGACATCGCTTCAACAGTCTGGGGAATATATCTTTCCTTATAACCCCTTTATTGTGTTTTTTCCAATCGAGTAGAATTTGTCGCCATTTGACTTTAATTGGTCGGAAAACGCTAACGTCCAATGGCTGGGTTAAGTGAGTGCTGTTAGGTGGCAGCAAAACAAAGCGAATATTGTTCTCTTCACAACTTTTAATAACTCCGACGGAAATGTGGCTGGCTAAGTTATCTCCTATCAAAACTTTTGGACCAGGAGGTAAGGAATTAAAATACGGAAGTGCAAGTTTAGTAAACCAGTCTTCAAATAGACTGGAATCGAACCATCCCGAGCGGCTTCTATTATATCTTGCATTGGTAGGTCCTCCCTCTGTCCAAGTGGTCCATAAATTGTCCGCCTTGTAGACGATATATGGGGGTAGCAATATTCCAGACGCAGAGCATGCAAACATAACAGATGTCGAAGATTTTGACGTATCCATTATTTTTTCAGCCCTTTTAGATTGCTTTCGGACAATAACTTTGATGCGCCCTGGTTCATCAGTGAAATTGGTTTCGTCGTAGTTCAGCACAGCTTCGGGTGGCACATGTTCGAGAACACGAGCCAAATTGTCGAAATATGTGGTAATTGTCTTATGGTCAACTTTTGCCCGACTTTGCTTGATAGACTGAGACAACCTTTTTGACAGTTCTTGTTTATGTCGATTCATGAAATTTTGGATCCAACCTTCCCCAGGTCGGTTATTCACAAACTGCTTTAATTGGACGCCTTTTCTGTTTAAATAGTTTTCAACTAAATCTTTTACATCTGCGGGTGTAAATGGAAATCCCCATTCTGATGCTGTACAAATTGCACGAACAAGAGCATTCTCTTCATCTTCTGTCAACGCGGTACTATGTCCAGGATTCTGTGTGTGCAATTTATTAATTTTCCTGTATAATGTTACGTAAGGTATTCCATATTCCTCACTCAGTTGCATCAAATTGCCACGCTCATACCTTGCTACGGCCTCATTTAGCGCCTCTCTAGTGTAATTTTGATAGGGCCTACTCCCCACTTTCCTTTTATAGGTTCGCACCATTATTTTCAAGTAGCCCCTGAAATGACATCGAAAAATAAAATCGGCGCAACTGATTCTCAAATGATAGATATGCTGCATTTGAGGTTATGTTTCGGTTAAGCGGTTAAAACTTACTTAGGAAAAAATTCGGTGGTTGAATGAGAGCTATCAGGAGTCGTAGACAATGGAAAGTATTCGGACGATAAAAATTGATGTTTTCTTACCTTATATTTGAAATGGTTTCCAGGGAAAACGTGAGGCGCAATTGGAACACAAACAATGCGAACACTCCGCCGATAATCTGCTCTAGCGGACTGTCAAACACTGGTGATCCTAAAATCAACCGTTTGGCGGCAGCACCAGTACATGAACAAAGCTGCATACGTTTTCAAGTAGCCCCGATATTTTCAAGTAGCCCCGTTTTACGGTACACTATTTTTTCTACAAACGCACTAAAAGTGATTACTTTTAGCACTAGTGCTAAAAGTAATCACTTTCAACACCAGTGTCATAAAATGGCATTTTAGACACTGACAGCATATATGTTAAAAATGACACTTTTAGTGACGTTTGTAGAAAAATAACTATTTTTTTACTTTTTAGTAATTTCCTACCAAAATTCTATTCTCTGTCTCTCTCTAACACATTGAGTTCTTATGGAAAGTGTCAATAATATAATTTTTTTTTGTCTGTGCTTAAAATTGCTATTTGGCATTGATATCAGGGTTGTTTTCTACTAATTTTGACCTACTCTATCGATTCATAAAGTCAAAATTGAGCAAAATAAAAAAATCGAATTTTTCATAAGGGTACCCCCTTTGAATTCTGATTTCAAAATATTCAAACCTCAATTGCTCGGTAACCGTTGAGCAGATTGCATTAAAATTTCCAGAATTTGTAGCTTTTATCAAGTTCTAAATGGCCTGTAATTTACAATATTTCCAGATGTATAGTTTTTGAGCAAATTGAATTTGAAGTTTTTGACAAAATTTGGACTAAAAGTCAAATTTGAGGCTCAATTGCTCAAAAACTATTCGAGCCATTGAATTCAGTTTTGCACATATTTATAGAGAATTTAATGCTCTTTCCAATGATGTATAATTTATTTCAATTTGCTTAAAATTTACCAAAGATATGGGCAATTGTTCATGACCATGTCAAGATTTTGAAAATTTTCCAGAGCCAAAAATAGGATTTTTTTATTTTCGTTTCTGCTTGAAATGGGCATTTGGAATTGAGGTCAGGGTTGTTTTGACCCCCTCTATCGATTAATCTACCATTACGAGATGTATGTATAAAATGTATAAAACCTTCATTCTGTGAAAATTTCTACTTGTAACTCCGACGCGCCCACAAAAGTCAAAATATATTATAAGGAGCACTCTTCTATTTTTTGATTCCAAATATATTGCTTAACTCATAGAAAGATTGTACTACCTATTGCTCTTTGGCGCTCTGTATATACAGTTTATAGTAGTGTTAAACTCATTCATCTGGATAGTCACAATATTAAACTAATTTTCAGTGAATTTAACATCTATAAGGCTAAATTTTGTTCCATTTTCATCAAAAATGCAACATCTTCCCCCTCTCTTGTCCCTACAGTAATGGGTTGCATTGAAATTATATCCTGATATATTATAGTTATTCAGGATACCCGTGGTGCCTTCAACGTTTAATGTCCGACATAATTATTTTTTATATGAGAACATTTTGAATGAAATTTGAATAAACTAATCTAAAACACATCAAGTACCTGCAAAAAATAGTCATAACGCCCTAGGGAATTATTTTCTATTTGAAATAATAGTCATAATGCCCTAGCGAATTATTTCGTATTTAACTGACTTTGACATAATGTCATTATTTCTCGAATAATATACCAGTCGGACATTACTTAAAGTAGTTTGCTTTGTTGGGATACACCCATGTCTGAGTTTGGGCTACGATTTGTATTTCTTTTGGACTACCACTAATTATTTTTTTGAGATCATCGATTTCATTTTTCGTAAGCTTCTGATGTTAATATACAGGGTGTCCCACGACGTTTTTTTCAGGTGATAACTTCGGAACGCGTCATCCAATATAATTGAAATTTTGAGGATCTGGGTAACTTTTTATGCCGCTTATCATCCAATTTCACCATTTTCGCTTCAATTTCGGTCAAATGACGTCAACTTCAGAATCTTAAATGTAACTCATGGTATATTATGGCATTTTTTGTTAGAAACTTAAATTACAAAATCGGCAATGCCATATTTGTTAAGGCTTTGTTGAGGAAAATGATAAAAAATTATACAGTGGAACATACGATGATGCGTTCTGAAGTTATCATTTGGGAAAAACCTTGTGGGACACCCGTATAAAATTAAGAAATTCCGCAATTGATCCATTTTTACAGACCATTATTTATATGCACCTTGTAGCTTACTTGTTTTACAAATTTTGTTGTTTGAGGAAATCTTGTTCTCATCTTATCCTAATAGGTTGCTCATTGGAAATTATTTTTTCATAGGTTTTTCCGTTCATAGAAGTGATTACTTTTGTCCATTCCAGCGAAGCCATATTCTTTCACCATTCCTTTAGTTCTGTCATTATCTTGAATATTTGCACTTTCAACTCTGTTTCCTTCAGCTTCACCATCATCAATTTTCTTGATTTTATAGCTTCCCGCCAGGATATCTTGATTGTTTTTCATCACTTTCTTTTTATTTTGGTAACTATTTTTCGAATCCAATTGACGGAGTTTTATTTATTTCACAGACCAACAACAACAATATCAGTCACAGCCAGGCCATCTATAGAAAATTTCTCATGGATAACAAAATGGAACTGTTGCACAACATCAACGAATCGATAAGGAGCATAGAAGAAGCTCTCGCAAAAAGCGAGAACGAAGCCTGGGAACAGTACGAGTTTTTGAACGAAGAGGCACCAATGGACAGGTAAGAATCATCTTTATCATTTTTATATTAATCAGATGAGTCCGAGAGGTACTTGAAAATGAAATCTTTTTTCTATTGAAATGAAGATTTGTTTCAAGCCAATCAAACTTTGATTGCATTTTATATCAAAATCAAAACAGTTTTCGTTGAAATTATAAAGTAATTATGTAAAGTATGGATTGTTTTTCATTTTACCCGTTAATACCAATAATTCTTCAGATATATAATTTATATTATGATTATAATACCTAAGTATTATTGTGATAAATTGGGTCATCTTCAATACTTTTTTTTTTTCAGAGAAGACGAATCTCTCTCCGCCTACAGACACACAAAAATAAGCCAAATAGCTGAATACTTGAACGAAGTGACCGAAGATCTTCACATGAGGAAAACAAAACTGCTCCAGACCAGGGCCCTATTATGTAAAACTATAGAAAAAATTTCTGAAGATTCACAAATATATGACACCCAATGATAATAATAATAAATAAAACATCGAAAAAACAATAATAAGTGTTTACTTTAACTTTGACCTTTACCATAGAAAAGTGATTTATAAATTCTTAAATAGAACATTCACTGGATTCATCCCCTCCACTTTATGTTTTAGTTCATGACTTCACCGCTGTGCGCCCATATCGCCGTTTCTCAACGTCCCCCTCGTTTTTATTCTAATCTGTGACTTCACCGGTGAGTTAGCTATCTTTGTTTACTGGATAGGAAATGACAATGACCGACATAGAATGGTGGATATAAAAACCAGTCATAAAAACGCAGGTCCATTTGACATCATAAAATAATGCATATGTCATCTGAAATAATTTGTTGAGTGCGTCGTCATTGATTGTTTTGAATTCCAAGACTGTGAAAGAATTAATAAGTGCATCACAAGCAGCCGGTTTAAGAGTTGTTGCCACAATGTGTGACCAGGCGGCAAAAAATAAATCGGTCAAAAGCAAATTGCAGCCACAGACCAGGGAAATCTACATCAAGAACAACACAGAAACAGAAATTTTGGTTTTGTTGGAGATAAACAACCTAGTGCCACTGTATGATGCTCCATAATACATGCTCGAGGGAATTATAAATTACTTGATCAAATATGACAGTCATTCAAACGGAAAAATGGACATTTTCAAAAAGCAAATTGGAAAGTTTTTCAGTTAGCTTATGAGTCAGATACGCCAAATCATCTAGATTATAGACTATTTTATTCATTAAGTGATTCTCACAAATATATGAAAATAAAATGTATAAAATTTTAGTTTATGAAGTTTGGAATGGATGGAAGTTTTATTTTGAAATAATTGAAATGTCAAACGAGTCATTTGAGGTTTTACGGTTTTCGAGTCATCTCAACCTGAATACCGGTAACTTTTAATTCCAGAGTTTAGACTTAATAATTTAATGTTTTTTTTTCTGCTCCATCAAGTAAAATTTTCCTACCAAATTCACTCAATATAATCCAGATTGCATGAATTGCTAAGCCATTAATCATTCTCACTCAAAAGCCATCAAGTAAAGGCTATCTTAGCTCTCTTACCGTAAAAAAGTAAACTTTAGAAAACTTGGAAAAAGTTTAGTTAAAATAGTTAGGTTCAGGTGCAAATTAAAATGTAATTTCTTTTTTTTTCCCCGCTGGAAAACTTTTTTCAACTTAGATGAGATGCTTGCTTTGTCTTTTAATGTATACTGTTCCTTCGCAATTTTAAGTCAAAAAGTAAGTTTAAAAGGGCTAACGAGCTATAAAATATTACAAAACTTAATTTCTCCACGATTTTATTAATTAAAAGACAACCTTCTGCCTTTGGCAAAAAAAAATTAACCCTTTCTTAAATAATTCAATCATCCAATTAATTTACGATGCGGAATTTTACCTGTAGATTTATTAATTATTTGCTAACAAAAAACCTTTTACGGTTTTTAGATTAAAAAATTCCCCTAAGCTTTAACGAATAATACAATATCTTTTGTTCGAATATCAATTAGGTCGTTTTGTGATTTAATTTTGGACCTTCTGAAGTGTAATTGGACGACGAATTATTAACAATGTGCTCTGTGCTGTTTCTATAGGCTTTTTTATTTTATTTTTTCGAGAATTAGCATTACTTATGGATTATTTATAATAATATCTGTTTCAAATTGAAAAGTTTTTTATATAGACAAAAAATTGTCTGATAATAGTTTCCCACATAACAATAAAAGAACATTCATATTCTCAGAATATTCCCTCAAAGTGCTTTTTGGAATGTTCTTTTAGGAATGTTTAATGAATATTCTAAGGTTGTTTCGATTGAAATATTCATTTTTGAACGTTCTATTTATGTACTAGGAATGTTGCTTCTATGCACCTACCTGAAAGATTGTGCTAAGAACCTACTTTATATAACAAACTTTGAATATTGTCATACGAACATTATTATAATGTACCCTAAAAAATGTTCTTTCGGCTAATATCAAGTATTAAGAATATACCTACCAAGTTGTGCTGAGAAGTTTATGTAGGTAGGTTACCATGATAAGAATATTTTCATATTGTTCACCTAATTATCTGAAGTACCTACTCAAAAATCATAATTTAACAATTAAACAATAATGCTCTATCTAGAACCTACTAAGAATATTATAGGTATATTCTTTTCCTTTTGCTTTGTAGGACTTCCAAGAGAGGGAGCCACGCGCTATTAAAGATCTACATCTTACCTCGCGTTTGAATCACCTTGGAACTTGTTTCTCTCAGTTGGCGTGCTTCGACGAGAGCATAACAAGCTCGAAACCGGAGCTTTGGTTAAATACTTGTGTTTTCCAGAAAAGTTTTCCAACAACTCTTTCACTGCCTTTAATATAAAAGGGTTGAAAGGAGCATTATTTGGAAACGAAAATTAACATTCCAAGTATATCCTTAGAATCAACCAAGAATGTTATGTCTAGGATGCATATTGAGAATGATATATGTAGATTTATTCTAAGAATATTTCAAGCATATTGGTATAATATTCTTTTGAGAACATAACTATAATGTCATAGAAACATTCTTTGAATGTGAGAATACCTATACATATCAAGCATATTTTTAGAATCAAACAAGAATATTCTATTCAGGATGTACTGAGAATCTCATAGGTATATTCTAGGAATATCCTAATGGGTTTCTCAGGAAGTTCTTGGGTATTGCAAACAGTATTTCTACAATCTTTTCTCAGAACATTCGCAATGATTTTGGCGAACATTCTAGGCACATTCCTCCTGAAAAAAGAACATTCTTAATACATTTTAAGGATGCAATTTTGTTATGTGGGCAGCAGCACATGGCGTGGCGCGACCCGATTATTACTGCCTTGTGACGTCAGGACCCATAGAAATACATTTTTGATCGCGTCATGAATTTCGAATTATTTGGTATTTTCAATTAAAGATTTTGGACACCAGAGATAGGATAATATATTTTTTTCCTAATTGCATCATTTATTAGAATGATTGTTATTGTGTTCTATTATTTATTCCATATTTAAATTGATTGCACTTTTTATGTCACTCTGACAAGACTATCTAAAGACAGATGATGACAGATGACCAACAATTAATTAGTGCGTTCTATAACTAATACAAGGAATCTAAGCAAGGACTTATCATTTCCTTCCTTTTTTTTTTTTTAAAAAAATCTTAACAATCTAATTTCTGAGGAGGTTTAATCAGTCGTCCAAACCTAGAAGTATATCCAGAAGTCTTGCTAGAAGTTGAAGCTGTACCAAGGTCTCTTGAGAGTCTAGGAGTAGCAGTAACTTTTACTGTATGGTTGTTATCTGACTTTAGCATTTTATTAACTGTAGGACTAGTAGGACTCGCAGACTCCGGTACTTCAGCAAAAGCCGGCTGACTCATTTCTATATTATTGCTTGAACAATGTTGGTTATCGTTGTTTTGACTTATTTGTGAATTTGACATAATTGGTGAAGGACACAAAACATCCCCCCTTAGAAATGTAAGTCTTATGAGAGACGTCAGTCTAGTCGTTTCAGCTTTCCCCTCCAATCACTAGAGGCGCTTCAATCAACCTATTAAAGTTTTGTTTTTCCTGCCGGACCGTGCGCCAAGATTTGAAGTTTATTTTGTCATTTCCAGTCGTCAAAATTTAAATTTTGAACTTCTCCCAACATTTAGAATTATCAATTACCTATCAATTATCAATAATTATTATCTCAAAATGTCTTCTCCTAGTTTGTTAATTGAAAAGCATCAGAAATGCTGTGTTCCGGGGTGCGGCGACAAATACAGCAGCTATTTCCGGTTTCCAAAAGATGCCGAAAAAATGAAACAATGGCTAGAAAAAGTTCGCAATCCTTTACTAAATAGCCTCAGTGTCGAGAAGGCTTATAATAATTATAGAGCGTGAACAAGACATTTTCCTCGAGAATTTATTGTTAGCGATTCAAAATCCAGACTCACATGGAATGCTGCGCTTTTGCTGTATCTCCCTGAAGGTAAGTTAATACTAGATATGTGAGAAAGACGTACTTACATTTTCACTTACTCCTCCCCATAGTTCTGATTAACGACAACGTGTTAGAATTCGGGTTTAAAGGAGCATAGGTCAGAAACATTAAAATTAATTTTAATTTTAGCCCCAATTATCAAAAACAGTGAGGAGTCGTTAATTGATAAACCACAATCACCAAAATGGCAAAAAGTGGAGATCGACACAGTTGAAACTCGTCGAAGAGTCCTAAGACGCCTTCAGAAATTAGTTTCGCAACTATGATTGACATAGGTAGGTAAACATAATAACTCTGTTCCAACACGTCAAAAAATCGTCCCATGAACGGTTTCGAAACCACTCAGTATAACAATTTTAGTTTCTGCGCAGAATCGTGACGGTACATTGTACGGTTTTCTGCTGTGTTGGAACAAAGCTAATATTATTCATTTCTTTTTTTAAAATGTTTATTCCTTTATCAGGAGACACAATAATTAAAATATTCCTGGTTACATACAGGTACACCATATTCTACAATGCATGTATCCAAACTTTTTTGGTAGAATCATTGGTAACGAAATTTCTGTTTTAGATCAACCAGGCCCTTCATGTCGTCAATTTTTATCTACTGAAACTTCTGCAATTCAGGCAGACATTGCTACACCAAGTGGAACCATCACATCTGCAAACATGAAAAAGTCACCAACTAACTTTGTCTCTTAAAACTTTTATTGGTAGGTACCTAAGTGTTATTGCTTAATGAATAACCACCCAGTTGGGAGTAGGTGAATTTTAAAACATCCTAACTCAAGTAGGACTACTACTATAAAAGACTACTAATTACTAAAACTTGCAGTCGAATGCTAGAAAAATTAGAAGCTAAATGTGCGAAAAGCTCGTCTCCAATCTTGATCTATTTTTTTTTTGCAGGTCATGAGAGACGATGCCAAATTTTAAAGAACATTAACGTCACTAGGCAAAAAATTCCTATCCCCAAGGGAAAAATATCTTTATTCCAAAGTTATAGAATCCAGCAATAAGTTAAGAAGAATCAGTAGAAGGTTGTCGTCATTTAAATCCAAAGTTTCTACT